TAATTCACAATTTAGCTTCAATTCGGCAAAGGAATCGAAATAACATGGAACAAGCTTTTTTTTTTTTTTTTTTTTTTTTTTTTTTTTTTTTTTTTTTTTTTTTTTTTTTTTTCCCCTTTTTTTTTTTTTTTTTTTTTTTTTTTTTTTTTTTTTTTTTTTTTTGTTTCACCAGGAGTCCACCTAATAACGATTTACCGAGGACGACGAGTAAAAAAAGAAAAATTGCCGAGGATACGACAAACATGGTCTACGTGAACAAGTTGACATATAGAAAGTATGCGATTATGTACGCACGTAAGGAGATCCTTGAGGCCTAAATTAAGCAAAGAAAAAGAATCGACCATTCTTTTATGTGTGCCGCATAAACCTTACAAGTGTTTATTTATTTATACATTAAAATAGCAGCAATGCAATAAAAATAATAGACGGCTTACCGTAATATGTGATTGATGTCACGAGAACCTTATTATACAAAATAATAATCCTCAAAGTTGGCTAGTAGCAAATCACCATTCCCTCAGCGGAGTCGGATTCGACAGCTGGCTATGGTTCACAAAAAAAAAAAAAAAAACTTATCGTGTAACACAGCGTCGTACCTACGTACGTACGCGTCGAGATTATCAATCACTTTCCCCCCAGTAACCTCCGATGATTCACGGACGACCGACCAATCATGTTTCGTTCACTCGAGTAGCTTATCAAAAAACGAGGTTAGGTGGTAATTCAAAATGTTAATCAATGGTTAAGTTTTACTTAATCAGAAAAAGGATGATCTATCAAAGTTTTTTAATCTAATCTAATTATGAAAATAGTTTCCTAATTCGGTAATTTTTTAAAAAAAAAAAGTTTATTCGCTATGTCATAGTTTCATCATCGCAAACATATGTAACCTATTTCTAAACATGGTCACATGACCGGATAGGCCGACCGATCGACCAATAAGGCATTAATGCGATCATCGGTTGAATCGTTTCCTTGGCATCATCTTAAACGACGTGAATTATTTAATCCTCGACGAGCACATTTGGTCACAAATCTGTAAACAACACCACGTTCGATCCAGATCGCATAAAGTCACCTTACACAATGATTTCGAAATATCGCATTTTTTCACCACACCACAACCACACCTCCCGTTCGCAAAAAATTGTTATTTGCCAATTCACGAAAAATTCTGTTTTGCTTTTTTTGTTCCTCAAATTTTATTCAAACTTCATTCCGAAATAAGGAGAGAAAGACACGGTCTTTTCTTAAAAAAAAAAATAATAATAATAATCGAGAAAAAAAGAATCACTGATATTTTTTTTTTTTTTTTTTTTTTAACAGAAGGGTATATAAAGAAGGTTTTTAAAAAATTTTTTCCGATTTAAATATCAGTATAATCTTGTCGTATGTTTTTTTTAAAAAAAAAATAAAAAATAAAAAAAAAAAATAAAATCGTAGTTTGCTTATTGCCTTGCCTTATAAATCTTGATAGTCTAATTGTATGTACAAAAGAAAAGAAAAATTGCGTGATGAGTGTGGAAATAAAAAAAAATTAATTTCGTAAATATTCTTATTGTTCATATGTGTTGTTGCTATAAGATAACCCATTAATGTAATGTGCGAGAAAAAAATATTATGAGAAGAGTTCATTGATCGTCGCCCGTATGATTGAAAGAAAAGGAGGACCCATAGAAAGTGCATATTATCCTCTTGGATGCCAAAAAATGAAAAGAAAAAAAAAATGTACAAGATTTATAAGCAGAAATCATCGAAAAGCGAAGAAAGAATCCGTGAACGGTGATGATGTGAATAAAACAATTGTTCGTTTTTCTGAGGGAAAAAATAAATCTAATAATGTATGCGATTATGTTAACACCACGCCAGAACCCACCGTGAATTCCGAATTAAAAAAATTTTTCCCATCCCAATATCAGACATATATCCAATTAAAAAATAACGATGATTGATTGATTGATGATGAAATTTAGTGTAAATCAGAATATCGTCTTCTCGTTTTCATATTTTGAACTTCGGGTGAATTCCTGCAGGTTTCCTCCATCTTGAAATGACGGCGTAGTGCATCTGTACGAGCAAATGCCTTATGACAACACGGACATTGATAGGGTTTGACGCCTGTATGGACCCGGATGTGTCTTTGCAAATCATGTTTTCGTGAAAATGATCGTGGACACATTGGACACTGATATGGACGCGCGGGTGAGTGTGAACGAAGATGCGCCTTGAGGTTATACAACCTGCTGAAGGTTTTAGGGCAATCTTCCTGTGGACATTTGATCAACTGCTGTTGAATTTGCTGTGGCTGACTCGATTGAGATTGCGGCTGTTGTGGAGGGGATGTCGCCGACGGGAGAGGATTTATCTGCGCCGGATTCACTAAAACCTGATTCTGTGTGTATTCATAAGGAAGCGGATTCATGGGTCCCTGTGTCGATGCAATTGTTCGATTGTCGACACTGTTATTCGGCACTGGTAGCGACCACATCTGCATTCCATAAGTGGGATGCGAGTTAAGATTTGGAACGAGCGAAGGTGCGTTACCGTTCATGGGATGTTGTGGTTCATAGATGATAAATCGCGTAGGTTCCGGGAAGGACGTCGGAACTCCGCCGTTACCTTGATTTTGTTCCACTGGTGAGGTCCCAGCGAACACATCATAATATCTCGAGATGCTCTCTGGTGATAGTGAGAAGGCAAACTCTTGACCCGTGGGCACCGTCGGGGAGGTCGCTGATGATAGAGTTTCGCTCGAGGAATCGTCGCAAAGGGTTGAAGAAAAACCATAGTTAAACTGTGATCCCTCGAATTCATTTGACGCCATCAGGTGAGGAGAAGACCCAGCGCTTGAACCAGAATCCATCTCGTTAATAAATGAGAATTCAGATGAGTCAAATTCAGTTTTGATCTGCACGTTGTCGTTTTCGTTCAGATTGGCCGAGTCGTCGTTATTACCATACTGCGAGAGTTGGGGATTTTGCGAGTACAACAAAGTTGGAACGGGTTGTTGAGGTGAGGTTGAACCGGACATTGGGAACATCGCAAATTGATCTTGAGATTGCTGCGGTGGTTGGGGTGGTATTTGTTGCTTTGGATAAAACTCGGTTTTTATGAATTGGTCCGCGTACTCGTATCCAACCGGAACGAAATTGTTTCCGCACACGGCAAGGCTATCATAAGATTGTTTACCAATGTAAGGCATGTTGAGTATGTGAGCGGTCATAAAATTGATTGGACGTATAAAGGTTAAATATTTAAGAAGACGTAGGAAAAAAAAAAAAAAGTTAGGTCGGGTTTTTTTTTTTTTGTTCTTAGGGAAGATATTTTCCTTTAATTTGGTTTGCACCAAATATACGAATATAAATATATATAATCGAAATTAAAAGAGGTCCGTGTTCTACAGGACGAACGAAATTTAAAGTCTGGAAAGTTTTTTTTTTTTTTTTTTAGGAAAAAAAAAAAGGGAACAAAAAACAACGTTTGATGTTGAGAAAAAAAAGTAGAAAGGGGAGTTGCTACTTTTATATATAGTAGGTAAATTTTAGATGCGGACTGAATTATTCGGATTATCTTAACCCACAATAACAGATACAGTTGATTGTGTATATATATAATTTGGTATACAATATAAATAAATTTATATTACACACAGTATATAAATAAATACAATATACTTTTGCACACTAGTATATTGACTAGAGTCTTGACGAACAAGAGAGCTTTTGTATTGTGTTTTTGTTTGGATGAAAAGACTCAATTTTTTTTTGCTTTTTTGGAGGGAATCTGGGTGTTATATATAAAAAAAAAAATGATCCAAGTCTTGTACACCTGTGACATAATCATTTGAAAAAACGATGTACAAGCAGTATCAAACGAATAGTCTATCATACTTTAAAAGGAGTAAATTCTATTATGGGATATACAAAAAACAACTTTAGAGATATGAAATCATTTATTACTTGGTCTATAAAAAGTAATATAAATTCCTAATTAAAAATTCATATATATATATCAAATATATACAATTATAATAATTATTTAAAAGTAGACCGACGTTATTATGATATCATGAGTGCAACCTTCATTTCGTCACTAAAAAAAAAAAAAAAAAAAAAAAAAAAAAAAATGGGGGTTGCCGAGACCGAGAGTCAAGGTGATTACAGAAATGGGGTTCTCCCTTGGAAGAAAAAGGTCACCAAAAAATTCGAAACATCACACGTCAAGGTGATAATAATGTTGGTGTGTTCTATTATATTATTCTCTTCGCATCAAATTGAGGCGAAAACTTAGAACCGCCAAAAGTTTTGAATCAAGAAACCCGGAATACAAGTACAATTTCTTTTCCTGGTTTCATATTTTTCCCTTCGTGTTTCGCCCATACAAAAAATTTCCTTACATTATACACATCATCCTCTTCAATGATTTATTTCATCATTTATGTGAGAATATCCGAGTTTACACTACAACATATTGCACTCTACCACCTGACTCGATTTATCTTGAATAGAAGTCGTGACAATTGTGAAATTTAATTGTCATGATTTAAAACGAAAACAATATCATCGTTCTCGTGATTCACAAAAACAATTAATCTCAAAAAAAATAAGATTCCGGTCTATCGTCCAACTAACAATTAAATTTTCAACTTCCCGAGAGGGTGTCGCCCAGAAATCCCTTGCGCGAATGTTGAACCTAGAAAGTCTACTGTCGGTGTAGAAGAGATTTTCTGTTGGATGCGTTCTTGGCAGTCGTGAGTTCCTTTTTGGGTAATAGTTTATCCCACCTGTGTCCAGGGAAGGCGAGATTACCTGATCAGTTTATCTTTATTGGACCGTCGATGATATAATCGACCTTTAGTCAGCTAATTGTAGACACTATCCCAAATAAGATTGTGTAATCCTATCGATGGAAGATTCTACATTCTCGTCAATAGGCAAATGAAGTTTGGATAGAGAACTGTAATTAATCCCAAATTTCAGGCAAGATAGTAATAAGTAAAATAGTTTACCAAATTTTATCTGATAAGGTTTAAATTACTTCATATCAAAATGGGTTGTTAATATCAACTATTTGTATTCTTTTCATTAAGCAATTGATATATTAATT